GTCCCCACCAGGACTCTGTGCAGCCTCTGTCCTGTCCAGGGGCGAGCAGTAAAAGCCACCCCCTGCCTCAATAGGGGCCCGGCTGGCCTGGAGACCGGAGGGAGGGTGCTGTGGAGTGGGATGTGACCCTCACTGCCCTGTTCAGGCAGGGGCTGTGGAAGCCTCAGTGGGTGAGCTGACCTCAGGCTTCCGTCGCTGCTCAGCAGCGGGTCTGASGTCTGGGGAAGCACTCGCGGCCACAGACGTGTGGCCTTCACTCAGGCTGCTGCTCAGTGAGCAGGCCTCCGACTCTGTGCCCTRTGAACGCTGAGATGGGCCCAGGCGCTTATGGGAGGGGCTCAGGGACCCCTRCTGCCGCCAGCACCTGCAGGCGTCCCTCTGGGAGACCACAGCTGAGCTGGAGGAGCAGAGTGAGGGGAGGCCAGCACAGGACGGGGGCCGCTCACTGCTGCAGGCCTGGTTCCTCCATGATCTGCCTGTGTGTCTGCCCGGCAGAGCTGAGCTCCTGAGGGACGGGTCGGCTGCTGGTCGGCCGCCCCGTGCTGGGGTCTGGGTGTGGGGCCAGCTATGAATGYCCACAGGTCCTAGTGACCTGCAATCAAGGCAGTGAGTATGGCCCTGTGGCCTGCACAGCTGTGCCCCTGCCTACCTCCAAGGCCTCAGGRCGTGACTTCCATTCATGAGGTTGGGACTATGGCTTGGGTATGGGCAGCCAGGACAGGGTAGTGAGGCCCCAGTATTGGCTCCGCCCTCAGCTCAGGGCAGGTGAGGGCGTTRCCCCGGCTGGGGGGGGGGGATTCTGGAAGGTTCAGGCGACCTGGCCCAGTGGGTCTGTGGAAGGCTCAGAGCTTCTGCTCGCATCTGACCCCACACCTTCTAGCCCCTGGACTGGCTTCGGCCCTGCCCAGGCCAGCCCCCCCCAGGTTGTGCTGTGAAGGGCCTGGTAATGGCAGCAGGCTTCTGACCTTCCTGGAAACGCCCRCTGTCCCCAGGCCCAGCTGAGCATCATTAGCAGACTGGACGTGGTGCTGCAGCGTGCCATCCGCCTGGGCGAYCCCCAGGCCATCCACGTGGTGTGCACCACGCAGTGGAACACCTGCCTGCCCCTGCTGCAGCACAGCCTGCGGCACCACCTGCGGAAGCCACTGACCACCGTGGCGGAGATCCTGGAGAAGGTGGACAGGTGGGCTGGGGCTGGCCCTGGACACGGACACTGGTAGGATGGGTGGATGTTCCTGCCTGGGCGTGGGGAGCCCACCTGCTGTGCTCACTGGGCAGTGCCTCCTTGCTCCAGGGGATGAGTACTGAATGCTCGCCTCATCCACCTTGTGTCAGCTTGATTTGTGGCCATGACCAAGAGACCTGACAAGAACCTGGTCTCAGAGGTTCAGTCCACACAAGGCCACTGGGTAGCTCTGAGCCCGAGTGGKGCAGATCATCATGGTGGAAGAGAGTGGAGGAGGAAAGCAGCTCAGGACAGCCAGGGAGCCAGGCACGCTCTCAACATGGACAAAGTGACAAAGTGCAGACCCCACAGGCAAAGCCCAGGGACCCCCTTCCAGCCACAGCCCACCTGCCAGGCCACACTCCCCATTAGTCCATTCAGGTGGCGCCTTYCACTGGCCTCGTCCAGGGTCTCACCCCCTGGTCAGTCCACCTCTGATGGGCTTTAGGGGACACTGTCTACCTAGACTACAGCACAGCTACAGGAGGACAGTGTGGGAATCTGTGAAGCATGCTCAGRGGCTGGCCAGCTGTGGGAAGGGGACTCCAGGATACCCTCCTGGTGGCCGTGGTGGTGGGGACGCACCCAGTTCCCACACAGCTCTGGCGTGTCCAGGCGTGCGGCTGCCTCAGCCTGGGACCTGTCCTCCTGGGAACACAGGCTATCGCTCTGGTCCTGCTCTGCTCCTCCGCYGGGACCCCTTCTCACCCCTCAGGCCAGGGGGAGCACCTTTCACACGCCTGTGAATACAGCCGGTCTCCCCACAGATGAGCTGCTCACAGCTCCCKGGTGTCAGTTTGACTCCCAGGTGGTGAGCTTTGCAGAGGAATCTGGTTCTGGAGCTCACCAGCGAAGCCCCTGGGCCGGGCTGCTCTCCGGGTGTCATGGCGGGGGGGGGGGCAGTGCTGCGGCCCTGCTGGAAGCCTGGGGAGGCTTCCCACTCTTCCCAGTGCCCCACATCGGCTGCTGATTGTTTGAGGGGGGGTTCCACTCCCAGGCTTCGTGCTGAGAGCTTTGCTTTCTGACCCCCAGCTCTGGCAGGTGCCTGGCCTGACACACGTCTGCTGTTTGTTTCCCACCTGGGACTCTGATCCTATTTGTKTACTTGAGTTTAAAGAGCAAGACATTTTAAGAGCTTCTTAAAATGCTTTTCCGTCCAATCAAGCAGTGCYTTCTTTACTTCAGTTCTTTGTGGGGCTCTCTAGGAGACTCAGAGGTGTCACAGAATGCTTTTCATGGCTCTGGAGGTGGACCATTTTCTCTCTCCTCCTTTCCTCCTGGGGCTCTGGGCGTCCACCTGCCAGGCCAGCCACCCTCAGGCTCCCTGGGCCTGATTGTTTTCCCAGCGCCTCGCCCTCTGCTCTTCTGATGAGGTGATTTCCATCRCTGTTTAAATGTTCACAGGCTTTCCCTGCCCTCCAACTTCTGCTGCCTCRCACACGGAGACCTTGTCTCACTTGTCAGGTTTTTAGACTTAGAATTCCATTTTGTCAGTTCCATTTCTCTTCTGAGATTCTTTACCTGTTCTCATGAATCCTGCTTTTCTTGATTTGTGGACGTGTTGTTGGTGTCTACCGTGATAGCTGCTGCACAGGGTTCTTCTGCCTCTGTGCTCTGTGTCCTGGGTCACATGCTTCTCTCTTGTCACAGGTCCGTGGGGAGCACTGGACGGCAGGCTGCAGAGCCACCACATTTTGTTGTTTTTCTTGGAGAAGCATCAGACTTTTTTCCTGGTTGGCAGTTCAATGGTTGTGGGGTTGTATGGCACTTTGCCTGGGAGCAAAAGTGKGGGTCAGTGTGCACACACACACCTTGAGGCTTGGGGCAGGTGCTGGGGGGGACCCAGCTGCTCAGAACCCAGCATGCTGACCTTGGTCTCCTAAGCTCAGGACACTGCAGGTCCTTCTGCTCTGCCATCACCCTGGAGGGAGCTGGACTGTCTTCCACATGTTCTGAGTTTCTTCCTCCCTGGGCTGTGGTTTTGTGCTGCCTGGTGTCTGTCCCTGGAAACCACTGCCTCCTGTGTCCCATCCAGTTTGTGGGTCTGTGGTGGTAGGAGGGTCATCAGGAGTTACTTCATAGCAGTTGGAAGCAGAAGTACCCAAAGCCCCTGATCTGCAGGCCCTTCTGCTGCCTGCCCTGCTGTGGAGCCTGGGCTGGATGTCCCCTCTGGCTGTGGTCTCTGGTTTGCCCCCAGGGTGCCTCCCCTGCATGGCTTCTGGCTACCTCGCCAGATCCCTGAGCCACCAGCTCGAGGGGAGTCCCTGGGTGAGTGCCCTCAGGACTACTGCTGTCGGGTGTGGTGCTGCCTGGCATGGAGTCCACTCCTGCTGCAGTCACCTCCTCACCTTCAGTCCTTCCCTTGGGGACATCATGGCACCCTGGTTCCCGGAGGCTGTGGAGCCCCAGCACCACACCTGACACCATAGGCACTCTGCTTCTCTGCATAGGCTTGCAGCCTTCCTGGTCTCCTCTGATGTCACATAGGTTTGGGTCACTTGTACTTCTCTGTCTTCAGGGAAAGTCCCGGGGGGTCTTCATTCAGCAGTCTGTTGAGTGTGTCAACGTTGCACCTCGGGGCAGTGGCTGAGGTGGCCCTCCATGTGTTGTTGGTGGCAAGGGCTTTGCTCAGACAGAAGGGCCTCTCTAGGTGGCCCCCTACCCGGCCCCACCTGGACCCAGCACAGGACTTGGCAGGTGGACAGAGAGTGTCTAGAAGAACGTGAGCAAAGACCATAGACTGCAGGTTGGAGGTGGGCAAATGGGGCTGCGTCCCAYTCACCCGGCAGTGACATCAAGCACCCTCCAGCAGAGGGTCCTGCACTCTCCAGCCCCTCCCTGGTGCTTCCACAAAGCATCCCCGCAGGCGGTAGCCCATGTGCCACCTGCTTCCTCCTGCAGGAGCCTGGGTGTGGCAGCTCTTGCCAGCTGGCTCGGACGGAGGTCTCCCTGGGTCTCTCTGTCCCCTTCATGAGACCTCAAGGTTAGGCAGGTATAACTGGAAGGAGGCCAAAGAGCCAGGGCCCCTGGGAAGCCATGCTCCTCCCTGCCTCCCACGGAGTGTGGAACAAGCCCTGCATGCCTGAGGACAGCCCGGCCACCCCCTGATGCATGCCACCTCTCCCCCAGCCTCATGACTCTGCTCCGCTGCCAAGTACACATGGAGATGGCGCACATCGAAGAGGACGAGGACCGGCTAGAGCCTGCCATGGAGCACCTGCAGAAGGCCATGCGCCTGGACACACTGGGCCTCTACCAGGACAAGCTCAAGATGGCCTTCACCCGGCTACAACTGTGCACCATGCTGTACCAGTCTCCTGAGCGTGCTGAGGACAGGGCCATCATGGTCATCGAGCAGGTGCAGACATGGCCACCTGGGGGAGAGATGTGGCTGTCCAGGGAACCCAGGGCCAGGCTAACCCAGCATGAATACAGGCTGAGGTGCAGGGCACCAGGAGGGACTGCCCAGGGCCCACCTGATGGCAGAGGTCAAAGGGGACTGCTCAGGGCCCACCTGATGGCAGAAGCTAGAGGGGCTCTGGTGCCAACAGGGCAGGGGTCACGTAGGCAACCTGCTCTTTGTAGGCAAAAAAAGCTATCCCCAAGGACAGCGTGAGAAAGAAGCGGGCCCTCCTGGTGAATGCAGGCCTGGCCTTGGCCCCTGACACCTTCCAGATTGTGCTGGACAGTGAGAATGAAGCCAAAGGTGAGCACCTCTCTCCACACCAGGTCTGGGGGTCTCCTGTCTTAGGAGGTTCCTGGCTGCTGGGGAGCCTCTGGGCCCCCTGCTGTCTCCGGGCTGAACCCTGACAAGGTGAGCCCCACAAGCCTGCACCCTGAACCCGCTGCACTCTGCCACCTGCAACAGGATACCTCACTCTCTCCAAGCACTGGAGGGCTCATCTACACTCACGGCCCCAGCAGAAGGCCACAACCAGAGTCCTGGGTGGAGCTGAGGCAGCATGGCCCACTCCCTGGCTTGTAGGTGGTTTTCCTCTGCTGTCCTGACTGCTCCTCTCTGTCTGATGCTCTCTTCTCATGGGGCATGGTCAGATTGATGGGGCCCACCTGAGGCAGCGTTCCAGGTCCTGAGTTCCAGAGTCAGGACACAGCCTCTCTGGTCCAACACCAGGACCGTGTGTGGGTCCTGGGCTGCCCCTCCATATTAGTGATCACTCTCGTCAGCCTGGGCTGACCCCACTCACCTCAGCCACGGGCCTCATCCCCAAGAATTAGCCAGTGTAGGTGATGGGGTGCACAGCAAACCTCCCCAAGGCAAGCAGTGAGTGGCTAGGAGGGGCCTGTGGTGCCTGTCCTGTGTCCAGCTCCCCTGGAGCAGCGGGGCAGCCTGAGCCTGGCTGGGGCGCCTGCTGGCCTCTGGAGGTCCTCTCATCTCCATGCTCTGACACCAGGTCACACAGGGACTGGAGCCTGGGAGCAGTGGTCTGGAGGGGGCCGGCAAGGTCCATATATCATGTCCAAGAAGAGGGAGAGGAGCATGGGGTGGGTCCCAGCCCAGGAGGGGTGCCGCCTGTCTGCTACAGTTGTCCCCCTGGTCACCTCCTTCCCTGGTTTCATTTTGTTCTCAGGAGACTGAGGAGCAGCTGTAGGTCTGTTGGTGTCACCTATGCACATCTGTGTGGCTTCCAGGTTTATCACCCTCAGCATGATCTGCTGGAGCCTGGGGTCAGGTGCCCTTCACCTGAGGGCCCAGCAGCACCCACTCCCAGCTGGAGGAGTTTGGGACCCTGCTGAGGTGCAGGGGCTCCTGGGGAAGGAGGGCAGAGCTGGCTTCTGGAGTCTTCTGTGCCGTCTGACAGGGCAGGAGGCCAGCCCAGGGGAAGCACATCCCTGAGGCCCGATCTCCTGCCCAGACGTCTCCTAGGCCAGAGACAGGCTCGTGTCCTCTGGGTCCCCAAGCAGCTACCCTGGGCAGCCCAGCCCTGGGCATGCAGCTCAGTTCTAGGGGCCCTTTTTTTATTTGTTGGAAAAAGGAGCAGTGGGCTCAGAACTTCCTACTTGAAGCAGATAAAACTACTTGGCTTTGAGGGACCATAGGGCTGCTGGAGGGTCAGGGTTGAGAGTTGGGGCAGAGCCGATGCTTCTGATGGGACGATTGGCTGGKTGGCCCAGTCACAGAGTGGGTGGCAAGGAGGGGTCAGGCGGGATTCCCAGACCACCTCTGCCCCTCCACACACAACAAGGTCAGCTCGACTGACTGTCAGAGGACACAGCCATGGGCACCGACTCTGCACAGACTCAGCTTCAGGAGCCAGCTGCCGCAGGGCAGGTGCCACGGTTTGCTGTTATCACCAATGTCCCCATTGAATGCAGCTACTCTTCCTGTCACCCCTTTCCTCAGCACATGATGTCAACCCTCACATTTTGCTTTCTGTCTCAGTTTCCACTGGGAAAACCAGGGGCAGATTCTCCTACCTCTTCGCAAAGGCTCGACATCACATGCTTAGTGTGGACAAGGCTGCTGGGCATCTGCGGCGTCTGGGAAACGAGAATGACCAGGAGAGGTGAGCAAGGAAAGGGACTTTTCTGGAGAACAGAAGCTCAAAGCAGAGCCTAGTGAGGAGGGCCTGTTGGGGCAGAGGACATGCTCCTGGGAAGAGGTGGACCTGGGAGGAGGTGGACCCGGGAGGACATGCACCTGGAAGGTGGTGTCCCTCTGGGAGGATGTGCACCTGGGAAGAGGTGCTCCTGGGAGGAGGTGGATCTAGGAGGAAGTGCTCCAGGGAGGGCAGGCACCTGAGAGGGGGTGCTCCTGGGAGGGTGTGCACCTGGAAGGATGTGGACCTGGGAGAAGGTGGACCTGGGAGGAGATGGACCTGGGAGGGCGTGCTCCTGGGAGGTCGTGCACCTGGGAGGGTGTGCCTCTGGCAAGAGGTGCTACTAGAAGGATGTGCACCTGGGAGAGCCTCCAGCTCTGTGAACTCCAGGAGGGGTATGGATGAGGCCTGGCCTGCTTGTTCTTGAGAGAAACAGGCCACAGCCCACAGGTGTGTGGCCAGCGAGAGACTTCCCTCTTCCTTAGGGGACACATGCTGCAGCCATCAGTGTTGCGTGATGGGCAGACCATGGCATCAACCCAAGAGGGCCTGCCCTACCCCTGGGAGGGGAATTTGGGAGCTGCCCCTGATTCCTGGCCCTAGAGCTGTCCAGCTGGAGCACAGACCCAAAGCCCTGGAGCGTGGCTTTCCCTCCAGGGCAGCCACCTGTGTGCCTGCTACCTTCACCAGCTATGCCTGAACCTGCTCCTCCCCTGTTTGTGTTTTGGAGAGCAGAATCCAGATTTGGGCAGAGCTGGCCAAGGTTGCTCGGAAGCAAGAGGTGTGGGATGTGTGCCGGACAGCCAGCCGCTTCTGCCTGCTGTATGACAGCACCAAGGCCAAGAAGTCCCCAAGGCAGAAGAGAGGTATTGGCCCAGGGCAACCCCAAACCAAGGTGCCTCAGCAGGCCAGGCTCCTCCYGCTGAGGGCCAACGGGAGGGGCTTCCTCCTGGAGAGGCCAGACTGGCCCCACAGTAACRAGTCTGGTCAGTACCCAGGTACAGAGGAGCCTTCAAATGAGAGTGGGGTTTCTGAATGTGTGTGCAGCCTGCCCCCCATGTCCCTGGGCCCTGTGTCCCCAGACTCAGCCAGTCGAGGTCTGAAAACCCTTGAACAAARCTTGATCTGTTCTGAACATATCAGACGTGTTTCTTGTCACTATTCTCTGTACCATACAGTGTGACAGCCACTTACATCTCACCCACCCTGAGTGAGGTGCCCAASTTGTCCCTAGATGACTTGAAGCACACAGAGGAAGTTGCAGGGTATATCAAGAGCACACTGTTTACAGAGGGACTTGGGGTCCCCAGGGTCCTGGTCTGGGTCCCYGTGGACACTGGGGCAAGGCTCACATGACAGTTCATGGAGGTTGTAATGGCAACAAACTTGCCACTGACTGCCATCACACCCCCTGTCACTGGACATGAGTCTGACACCCTCCTCACCTTTGACAGCGCATGMCCCCATACCTAGGGCATCCTATAGGAAGCTGAGACCACCCCCGGAACAGGGCCACAGAGTTCCTGAGTTTTTCTTCACCCTCTTCCTGCTCCTCCTCCCCAGGAAGGAAGAAGCGGACCACAGAAGGCTCTGTGCAGGACTGGGGCCAGTCAGAAGGGGTGCTGCCGAGGCAGCGGTCCCACAGCCTTCTGCGCAAGTTCGCCGAGGTGGGGTTCATCAGCGCTGAGGTGCGTCCCAAGGCTCCTGCTGGTCTGTGGGGCCCACCGTGACCACGGGCGWCAGCCTCCATGTATCTTGTTAACACACTGGAGATCTTTATCGTGGGCCCCACCTGGGCTCCCAAAACAGTGGGTCAGGGGAGGAAAATTCCCCAAGTCCTTGGAAGCTCTTCTAGGAGGAAGATGCCAATCAAAACCTGTCATGCTGTGTACTGCTGTAATCTTTTGTGAGAAATAACTTCTGGATGGCGAGTCCGAAGGCACATGGACACAGCAGGTCATGGTCTTTCCACTGGGGGATTTGTATTTGGAGAGGACTTTGGAAGCCTTGGAGGAGCTGTTCTCTCTGCTGGGCGCTCCCTTGGGCCCCACCCAGGGCCTGGCCCTGACCCCCTGCCTGTGTGGGCACTGAGACGCACTGCCTGCCYGGCTCAGTCAGCCAGGTAGAAGGCAGCCAGCTGGATCCAAGCCCACTCTAAGGCCAGCATGAGCTCCCAGCCTGTGCCTGTGCCTGGCTGGCGGTGACTTCAGAATCCTCCAAGCCTGTGCCTGTTACTTCCTCTGGGGTCCCACAGGGGCAGGAAGTCCTTGCTGATCTGTTGGCTGAGGCTCTGGGTCCATGGCACAGATTGAAGCCAAGCCCTGTGCTCAGAAAGCTGGTCCCCAGATGGTGGACACAGGTGGCCGTGACCGTGGGGTCTCTCCAGCCAGCGCCAGCCCCACTTCTCCCGAAGTTCCCTCCCACCCCTGTGGGCTTAGCAGCCCTTTTCTGGAAAGCAGACTCACAGAGCCATCAGGAGATTCAGAGACAGCTGGGCATTTGGTAGCAGGAAGAAGCATCTATACAGTAGAGGGGTGGTGGGTGGGGCTGTGCTGACACTAGCTCTTCTCTCCCCAAGGTGTGTCTCTGCAGTGAGGTGACAGGTGTGGTGGGGGGCGGTTCTACCCAGGAGTCTACTCCTGTGTTTTGTGTTTCAGAATCCTGGGGCTGGGCCCTGCCTGCCCGTGACCCCTCCAGCCACACACTCTCTTCCAGGCCACCATCCACTTGCTGCACACAGAAGGTGTAGAGCTGAATGACCAGGCTGTCCCCCCTGAGGACTTGAGCCAGCACCCAGCTGGCTACGTGCCTGAGCCCCCAGAGACRAACCCAGAGTGGATCACCTACAGGTGGGTGGCGACTCCTGCCCATGTGCCAGCTCAGGGTGGAAGGGCCCTCTGTCTCCTTGGGGCTGCAGTGGGAACATCCTCCCAACTGACAAAGCAGTCCCGTTGTCACACAAGAGATCAGAGTGTTCAACACGGACCAGGATCACAGAGGGTGTGTGCAGTTGGCAGTGCAGCCTGGCAAAGGAGAGTGAGCAGAGGTGCCTTTACATAGACCCCACTCTCCCGCTCCAGTGAGCTCTTCTCACTTTTCCCACTGTTGGTGAGCRTGAGTCCCCAGGGTCAGCAACAGGGGCAGAGGACAGAGGGGGAGCAGCTCTGTGTGTGACAGGGCAGGCAAACTGCAGAAGGGTGAGGAGGCCGGGGGCAAGGGCGGCTGCCAGGGTGGGCCAGGCTTGGGCCCGCTGCTCCTCCTCCAAGCAGGTGAGTGGCAGGATCCAGTGGCCGAGGAGAGCTCACACATGGGAAGAGCAGGAGGGTGGCACTCAGGACGGAGGGGCCAAGAGTCCCACTCCTCAAGCTGAGGGGCAGGTGCAGAGGGCTGTGGGGTTCAGGGAGGGCAGCACCCACAGCTGGAGCACCCCTCCAGACCCAGGAGAGCTTGCAGCGGCTTCCTCTGGAAAGACCTGCATGTGGCCAATGCTGGTGGGTATGCATTTGCAGAACTTGGATAGAAAGCCTGTCGGAGTACACCATGAACAACTGGCTGCGCTCGGCGGAGATCGGGCTGGAGATCGGGGAGGCCTGGGTGGTACAAAATGCTGCCGTCTACRTGCTGAACCACAACCACCATCTCATCGTGGCTGGGCGGCAGAGGGAGCTGGTGGACCCCCTGCATAAGCTCCTGAGCATCATCAAGGCCTCTGACCACCAAGGGTGGGTGTGGCGTGGTGGGTGCAGACTGGCAGAGCATGGAGCCCCAAGACCCTTGCAGCTGTGGGGTCAGGCATGTCTGCTCTGGGTCCTACAGCGGTCAGCAGGGGCCAGGCCTATGCTCTGAAGGTGGGGGAGAGTGCTGCCTACGCACCTCCTCCTGGGTTTCGGTTGTGTCTGGGTTTCCCACATCCAGGTGTATGTGAACTTGAGAGACTGGTTTCCCAGTTAAATCAGAAAGATCAATTTTAATGTATTTTTTGTTGGTTTGCTTTTTGGTCTGAACAACAGAACTTTAATTATTTTACAYCGGATTCTAGTAGGAGCTAGAATGGGCGAGGCTGCAGCCACATGTCCATGATGACTTTAAGTGATGAGCAGTGCAGAGCATCTCATGACATAGTGCCATGCCCTTTCATGTCTCGTGACATGCCCTTTCCCAGGGCATGAGTCCACCAGCTGCTCAGGCTGCAGCCTGGGGTCCAGCAGATGGCTCAGGAGAGACGGGCAGCCTGAAGCTGAGCTCCCTGCCATGCCCCTGCCCACGAGCGTCTGCCAAGCTGATTTCTCACTCCTGGTGTGTGGAGACCACTGTGTCCCACCAGCCTTATTTCTGTAATGTCTTCAGCTGGCCCGTTACACCTGGGAATCAGACTTGGATATCTCCCAGGGCCTCCGGGACACCCTGGCACACGAGCATGGGTACAGTGGCCTTTCTGCCCTGCCAGCCCACCCTGGGCACTCGGGAGCCCATCCTRTGGCAAGGGTGTCCCGCTCGGCAGGAGGGGCCCTGGGTCCTGCCTCCCCATCAGCAGCAGGGACTCCCGCTCTTTCCCCAATCCTAGCCACAGACCCTGAGCTTCCCTGAGGACAGTGGGTGGGCGGCTCCATTCTGCCACATCTTGGCAGATGGGTCCCTAAACACAAGTGGTCACCACAGATCCAAGTGTCTCTGCAGGGGCTCGAGGGCCTGGGCCTCTACCCTGTCTTCTAGGGAYGCGGTCCTGCTGGTGATGCTCTGCAGTGCCCTGGCTCGAGGCCTGATCATCAGCTGGATCCCCACCCAGACGCCCGAGAAGGCAAAAAAGCTCCCGAAACCAAACACTTTTCACATCCCCCTGGACTCGGCGGCTGCCACTGAGATCCGAACAGCAGTGGAGGTACAGCTTCCCCAAGCCCAAGGCCAGGGGGAGAGAAGGGAGGGGACGTGGACAGCAGCCTGGACACACATGGGGGAGAAGATGGGGAGGACAGTCACAGAGCCTCTGCCCATGCCCTCCCRGGCATCTGGCAGATAGTGCGGCCACACGAAAACCAGAGCGCGGGGGTGAGGGGGCATAGAGGGGACATGGGGCATGGGGGACATGACGGAGGGGACTTAGGGAAGATGCCTCTGCAGTCTGGAGGCCCAYGCCAAGACGGGGACCCAGGCAGCTCTCCTGCTGAGGCCTCAGCAGGTACAAGGGGTGTGACTGTGGAGCCGGGGAGGCCAGCGCAGGCTGCTGGGAGGCCCTGGCAGGGTCCTGAAGGAGCCAGGACGAGCACCAGGAACCTGCAGGCAGGAGGAGCTAGACTGGAACAGGAGCTGGGGAGGGCTGGAGTGGCCTGGGTCAGCGGGAGGGAGGCTTGCCTCTTAGACTGAGGCAGCTAGGCCAGGCACGAATGCTGAGCCTGCAGTGAAAGCCCAAGAGATCACAGACCCATCTGCTGTCGGACAGGAGGCCAGCAGCCCGCTGAGCCACKGCACCTGGCAGAGTCCTTGTGGGTGCCACAGGGCTGCCTGGAGCTCACACAGGAGGGGTGAAGGGAGCGTGCGGGTGTGGGAGGACGGTGGAGAGCGTGGGGGTGAGGGGGCATGGAGGGGACATGGGGCATGGGGACATGGGGCATGGGGACATGGGGGCATGGGGGCCATGATGGAGGGGACATAGGGGCCATGATGGAGGGGACATGGGGGCGTGGGGGCCATGATGGAGGGGACATGGGGGCCATGATGGAGGGGACATGGGGGCCATGATGGAGGGGACATGGGGGCGTGGGGAAGACATGGAAGCTTCGTGCTTCTGCAGTCTGGAGGACCAGAACCCATGCCAGGGCTCAGAGGCCAGCCCTGGCTGTTGAGTGGCCACCTCTGGTGGCCGTGCTCACTGCTCTGCACGGGCTCTGAGCAGTGACCCTCGCACAGGCTTCAGCCTCTGTGAAGGTGAGGAAACAGGCACTCAGCAGGCAAGGGCCAGAGCTGGGGGTCCAGGCCAGCCCACAGGCCCTGTCCTGTCACCATGAGAAAATGCACAGTGGATTCAGGGCACATGTGCAGGGTCCTGGCCCTGGCTGTCCATGTCCAGATCCAATACCTGCCACAGCAGCGGGGGAATGCCTGGCCTCACTTGCTGAGGGCGTGGATGTGGGTCTGACCTGCTCCCTGGGTGGCAGCCAGAGCACTGGTGGTGGTCAGCAAGGAAGTGTGAGCCATCTGGGCAGCAGCTGTGCCTCTGTGTTGTTGGGCACTCAGTGGGGACATGGTGCCTCTGCCTGAGGCAGATCTGGGAAGGAGGCCCTGTGCACTGCAGGTCTGCGAGTTTGCGCTGAGCCAGACCAGCGGGAGTGTGCCCGAGGAGGTGGTGCCCACCAGTGTGCGGCAGCAGCTCATTGCCACTTGGGTGAAGGCCAAGCAGATGGCACAGCAGCAGATCGGGCCACGGCTGGGCACCGACGAGCAGGTRAGCCCAGTGGTCACTGCGGGCCAGGTGTGTGCAAGCAGGGCCCATGGGGCACCTGCAGGCCACCTTCTCCAGATAGTGGCCCTCGATCCTCCTTGGGGCCCCAGGCCTGACCAGAGGGGGGAGTACTGCCCTTCGTGAGGTTTGGAGGCTATCTTCCCACTGAGACCACYGCCCCAGCTGCGCTCAAGGGCCAGGACCCAGCCTGCTGCAAGGCCTGAGCCTGGACCTCAGGAGACACTGCCCACACTCGGCGCCACTCATCAGCAGATGGTCACCTCCTGGGCAGGCGCCAAGGCCCCCAAGCTGGGAACACAAGGGTGTGGGGGAGAAGTGGAAAGGGACGGGCCAGAACAACCCTGCTTCCACAGACAGAGCCTCTGGGGCCCYGTCACTGGGGACAGCAGGGAAGGAGCCAGGAGAGGAGGCAGGAGGGACATTTGAGGGAAGCGTCCAGATGGGAGCCTGGGGAGGGCTGTACAGCCAGAGGCAGGAAGAGCCCCTGCCTGGGCAGCTGCTGCCCCARGCCCTTCAGCCTCCACCTTAACCCCATCCCCAGCAGGAGACAGCACTGCCTGACCTGCTCTGGCCTGCTCGGCCACAGCCTGGTCATTACTTGGGAAGCAACCTGGAGGCGGATACAATGTAGCCTCAGGCCAAATGACGACATATTTCCCAGGATGATTGTTGCCATGAAACTCAGGTTGAAATTCAGGAAGACTCCAGGTCCTCCCTGCCCGCCCTCCCCAGTGCCTCAGGCTTATGGACACTCAGTGCCCCTTGCTTTCCACAGAGCACCAGCGAGGACATCAGCTCTGTGACTAGAGTCCTCGTAGCTCTGGAGATGTACTCCTGCAACGGGCTGGGCCTCATGGACTTCACGGTGCCCCCCCTGGCCCAGGTGGGTGTCATGGTGTCCTAGAGACCTGACAGCTCAGTGCAAAGAGGGACTAGGAAGCCAGCCTCAGAAGGTCTTGCCTGGGGCTGCAGAACTCAAGCCCACCCACTTTCTTACCACGGCACTCTCCCACAGAACGCTGTGGACCCCTCCAAGCCACAGCCTCGGCTGCTGTCTGGAGTGGTCCTTTGTCTTGGTGGGCCTCTGGGCCTCCACCCTGGCCAAGCTCTCTGCACAGGCAGAGGCATCTGTGGGGACCTGMACACTGTACTGGGACAGCAGCTGCCACGTGTCAGGGACAGCAACGTGGCCAGTGTGGTGTCCACAGTGCAGTGGTGTTTGCCGATCACAGAGGTGTCTGGAATGGCTACGCCGAATGACCTAAGCTTAGCAAATGCTTGGCCSAGTCCAGACCTCAGAATCCCATAGCTTTCCAGGTGGCAGCAGACTCACTGCTGTGAGCCACAGGCTGTGGGAGTCATTGTCACCCACGTGACACCCCTCTCTCTGGTCCTCCCTCCTGGGAAGGTGGTGAAAATGGCCTCCGAGTGCAGCTGGTCAGAGCCCTTGGTGGAGCTGCAGACGCTGACCAGGCTGACCCACTTTGCCTATGCGGCCCATGATCATGAGACCACCATGACCTGCTGTCAGATGGCCACACAGTTGGGCATCAAGTACCTGAGGGTGTTCGGTCCGTAAGTAACCTCCGTAATGACATTCTATCGGTGACATAGGCAGGAGCAAGGCCCCCAGAGAAGCCAGGTGCATGAGCAAGTATCAGGATATGGACCAGGGTGTGGGCACATGAGCATGTTGAGTTAAGATGGCTGCTGTGGCTTGGCGGGGCCCCAGGTTGTCCTGTGAGTTTCCGCCCAGGCCTGCCCTCGAGCACAGATGGCCTCTACCTCCTGTCTCCCYATCCCACAGAGCTCCCCACAGAGCTCTCCACAAAGCTCAGTGTCAAGAGGGACCCTGAGGCCGGGTGTGACCTGCTGCCTATAGGCATGGTGGGCATAGAGCAGGGGGTGTCAGTCCAGACTGCTGGGACCAAGGACTACCAAGGAGGGAGGGCCCTGCTCCTGTTCTGCTCCAAGACTGGAAGACAGCTCAGGACACAGCTTGCAGACAGCACCTCYTCCCTGCGTGCTCACAGGCACAAGGCCAGGGGGCCCTCGGATCCCATCTGCAGCTCCACCCCATGTCCTCCAGGCCACCCACAGACCCGCCTCCTGGCACCGTCCCCTGGGGTCATGTGAGTTTGGGGCACCAAGGGGGTTTGGATCAACGGTCTTCCATGGCCAGCAGAGACAGTCTTGTGAAGGTCACTCTGAAGACACTAGGATATGCTGAACCAGTCAAGTCACGATGGAAGGAGCATGGGTAGAATCAGTGACACTGACCTTCCACCTGCCCRCTCCCGCCTTGTCTCCCACAGGACCTGCCCCCACACACCCTGGGCACCTCCCTTCCCCTCTATTGCTTCTGTATTCTCATTTGGAATGGCAATCACAGTGCCTGACTGTCCCCTTTCTGAATATGAGGGGTTCAGGCTACTGCAGAGTCCTGCCCTCAGGGCCTTCCTGAGCGACAACCCTGAGGCTGGATTCAGGAGAACCTCCAAGGGCTTGTGTTCCTGGCCTGGGCCCCGCCTGCCAGTCTCATCTTTCAGGTCCTCCTGGCTCTTRTGGCATGGTGGGGTCAGCCCATGTGGGCAAGAGTTGAGAGCTTGACCAAATTCTCACAAGGGTGAGCTTGGGCAACGTGTGGTCCTGCTCAAACAGCATTTTGGGGGCCACATCCACACACCCAGTGAGAATCTGGGAGTCATCAAAGAAATGTGACCTGCAGCTTCACTAACCCCTTGCCTCTGTGGTCCAGGGTCTCCCACACTCCCAGGTGCATAGACGTGGACAGAACCAGGTGACAAGCAACCTTGTGACCGGCATCCCATGGAGGGCTGCTCTGAGTGGGCAGGTGTCCTGTTTCACACTGCAGACGAGGAGACTGGGGCAGGCAGAGGTTCATTCTCTCTCTTGGGCCACCCACTGGCAATGAGGCAGAGCCGGCATTTGACCTGGGAGTTGGGTTCTGAGAACCCCCACCTCAGGGTGAGGCCTGGCGTGTGCGCAGGCGCCATGACCTACAAACGAATGGCATGAGAAGAGGAGAGGTCAGAGACTAAGCTGCCGTCTACACTGGGTCTTGGGCAGATCATCGGTGGACCACTGTCGCCCCCCATGGAGACTGGTGCCGTTGCTCACCACAGGACTTGCCCACTGCGGGGGTCTGGGGGGGTGTGCTCCAGCAGCTGCGGGGGGAGARGCTTCAAGCCAAAGGAACGTGGTTCTAAATGGGAACAAGGCTTGGGAAGTACTGAACACCCAGGTGGTACACAAAAGGCCTCCCACCTCCCCAGTTCTTGAATTCTGCAAAGGACACCTGACTGGAGCAGAACTCACCCTGCCTGGTGGGATCCATGAAAACACAGAAGGGAACAGTGTTGGCAGCAGTGCCACAGGACGGGAAGAGAAGCCACGGCTTGTCCTCAGAGCCGTCGGGTCGCCCGTGCAGCAACCCTGTCTGAGTCGAGGGTAGTGTTGGTGTCCCTATGGCAACCAAGAGGTCTCCTGAACGTGAGCCAGGAGAGGTTGGAAAGACTCAGGAGAGTGGAGAGGAGCAGGAGCACAGAAGAGCAGGGAGCAGAGGGCAGCCTTGGCCCCTTAACCCTGCAGGAGCCAGTGCCCCTTTAGGGACCAGCAATGCCCCCAGGSAGACGCAGTTCTCCCAGTGCTCCCCCAGGACAGGCTCCGTCAGCCACTGGGTTGCATCACGCAGACACGGTCCAGCCCAGGTGCATCGGAGGGAGGTGTTCCTCAGTGGTGAAGCACCACCGTGCACGCTACACAGCAGTAGCGGAGAGTTTAACAGCCCCCAGGAGAACAGAGTAGGAAAATCAGTAAGGGCACAGGTTCAAAGATCCCCAAGGACAGATCTCACCTTGAGGACACTCCTAGGACACCCTATCCAGCAACTGCCTCAGAAAGAGCACCCTGATTTCCAGGATGCCCGCACACAGCATGGACCCGAGCCGTGCTCACCTCAAGTGTGTTCAGCTCCCTTGCCCTCATCACTCAGCCTCAGGGTCCCTTCCGACCAGATTCCTACTGCAGGGCAGATCCTTGCAGGCCAAAGCCAGCGCCTTCCTCCTCTGCTTTAGGAAGGGCCAGGTGTGGCTGGCCTCCAGGACTCTGGTCCCTGAAAGAATCTCTCCAGGACCAGCCTGTTTCTCACAGGTGAACTCTGAACTGCATGGCAAGCGTGTGCTCCCTGCAATGGTGGGGGTCAGGCTTGAGTGTGTGTGATCGGCAGGTGCCCAGGCCACAGGAAATGCTCAGAGGGCTCTGAGTGGCTCTGCAGGAGGACGTCCCAGCTGAGCTGGGTGCCGAGAGCACCACCAGAGGAAGAGCTCATTTTGGCCCAGCACACAGAGCCCGGCTGGACCTGCTGGCCCACTGCTGCCCACAGTTGGCCCCCAAATGAGTTAATGGCTCTCAGTTCTGTGGATAACTAGGCTCAGCCAGTTAGTCCTGGTTTGGGGTCTCTCATAARGTCACTCTCAAGAGTTAACAAGGCCTAGTCATGGAGAGCCCATTGACCAAAGCTGACTATCAGGCCCTGGCTCCCTCCACAGCCAGGTGTCCTGGTGATGCTCTCTACCACAGCATGGCTGCCCAGCTCTCCCGGTGGCCTTTCCCCCTGTGGGTTCTGAGTGCAACCAGGGCAAGTGTCCAAGACCCCAGCCACATGTGTGCTCCAGCCAATGGCAGGGCCCCGGAGGCCAGAGGCACTGGCCCCCAGCCAGTAGGGCACATCCCCGTGGCTGCTCCAGTTCTGAGGGGGTGGGGGCTGCACCCAGGAGGGAGGGAGGTGCCCCCATCTCAAGGGCCACAGTGAGGCCACAGACCCCCAGGGAGGGACGCGGCCTGCGACGGATGGCCTCCCTCCTCAAGCACTCTTGCCCCAGGGTGGAGACCCAGCTGGTGGCGGAGATGCTATGCACAGCTACCTGCATCCAGGGCCGAAGCATCATGGAAAACCTGAAGGGGAGGAAGCAGCTGCGGCTGGTGGCCGCCAAGGCCTTTGTGGAGAGTGCCAGGTGTGCAGACAGCACCGCGCAGCCYGGGCACAGGGTGCCTGCTGGGGCACTGAAGCCCCAGGAGCAGCCAGGTGGTGCAGGGAGGACTGTGCCCCCCGAAAAGGGGCCCAGGGATACCAGAGGCCACTGGCTGCCCTGAGTGACCCTGGGGCCATCCAGAGGAGTGCTGACCAGAGGCCCCTGAGTGGCCTGAGCAAGGCCAGGTCAGGCCTGGGCGCTTGAGGAGAGGTGGCCAGGAGACCACTGCTGCCCTGCTGTGCAGGGAGAACTGGCTGGGTGGGCTTGAGGCCTCTCTGAGGGGGGCACAAGCACCTGCAGAGTGGCACCGGGAACCCCACGCCCCCCCACCCCCCTCGGGGAGGTGTGGCCAGTAACCTGCYGCCTGCGCCTGCTCCCTCTGGGTGTGGAATGTGCTTTCAGGTTTGGGGGCCTCGCAGGCAGCAGCGCCCTGGTGATGCTGGCCGCTCGTCACTACTGGAATGCCTGGCTGCCGCTCCTATCCTCGGCTGTCAACAGGAAGAAGGCCCAGGGGGCCGTCCAGAAGCTCATCGGCATCATCAACAAGACGGAGGCCAGGAAGCAGGTGGGCAGGGGTGTGGGCCAGCCTGAGGTCCCCAGGGTGGGGTGCCTGCCCCAGCCACTACCACAAGCTCAAGGTCCCCGCAGGCGGGCGCTGAGCTTAGGGCCCCCCGGGCCTCCCCCACACCGTGCTTTCCTCTTAAGCAKCTCTGTGGGGGTCGCCCTTGTTACCTTTGGGTGGCTAGGCACAGATTGTCTCAGCCCTTYATGGACATCAGCCACACAGCGGTCCCCAAGCCTGAGAGCCACCCGAGGCTCTGCACTTCCTCTCCCTGGTCTTTCTTCCRCCTGTCCTGCTGGTCTGAAGGGCTGAGCCAGATGGTGCCTTTGCTCTTCTCCTCTGTTGAGCAGTGACCTGGCCTCTGCACGCCGTTCCTCTGTGTCCAGACACTCTTCCCAGTGTGCTTCYGTCACACTGGGTCAGCGCCAAGACTCACTAGAGATTTCACTTCACTGCAAGATGCAGGTTGCCAGGGGACTGGTCTGCATGGTGTGTGTGATACGTGTGTGATTATATCTGTGGCATGGAGCATGGGTACCTGGTGTGTAGTGCCTGGCAGGTGACRGTGTCGGCTTGTCCTGTATGGTGTGGGGTGTGTGCTCTGTGTGGCGTGGGTGTGTAGCATGGTTTGTGGCGTGTGTGGAGTGGACGGTGTGTGGTATGGGTGGAGTGGAGTGTGTGTGTGTGGTGTGTGTGCTATGGGGTGTATCTCGTCTTGCTGGCGCCCTGGGTGAGGGTGACATGTGCAGTCTGGCTGTGGTTCCTGTGGTTTGTTACCAGTCGCACTTCCTGCTGCCCTTTCCCGGCCCCTCCCCTCCTCTCTGGCCTTCCTGTGGTCTACTTACGGGCTGGCTCCCTGTGGTGGGGTGCTCAGCACCCCCTGGTCCCACAGCTCCTCCCTCCCCCTCAGTCCCCTCCTCTCCTGCACTCCTACTTCCACGGGACCCATCACCACACACCTTCCCTCCCCCCCACCCTGCATCTTGCTCTATCTAGCTCCACATACCACAGAGAATTTGGGGCCCTTGCCTTCATGAGTCCGGCTTTTCCACCTAGCATGGCGGGCTCCTGTTCTACCCATCTATCYRTAAATGCCATAATTTCTCTCTTCTTGATGGCTGAGTACGACTCCATTGTGCATGTAAACCACCTTCTCTGGGTCCATCCATCTGCTGACAAGCACCGGGGCAGTTGTGCACTGCGATAGACACTGAAGTAGCTGAATCACTGCCGTGTGCTGATGCAGCTCTTTTCAGATCCATACCGAGGAGTGRGACAGCTGGGTCACTGGTGGTTTCATTCCCAGCCTTTTGAGGAGTTTCCATCCTGCTTGCCAGAGTGGTCGCCCTGATTTGCAGTCTTCCCAAATACGTACAAGTGTATCCTTTTCCCCCTCGTCCTCACCAGCATTTTTAAAATATTGCATTTGCAATTTATTATGTCACACAGACACTGCTCTAATTTTTAGAGTTATATGATTCATGTCAAAAATTAAGAGGAAAATGTCAAAATTGTTCTTTTTTGCATTGACCATTTTTTGCATYAGTCATTGTTTTTTGGTGATACCACTATCACCTAGTATAATTTGCCTTCAGGCTGAGGAACTTCCTTTAGCATTTATTGCTGGTGATTAATACTTTCAATCTTTCTTCTGAAAAGACCTTTATTTYATCTTCATTCTTAAGGCATYTTCTTYATATGTAGAATCTGGGTTGACGCGTTACCCTCTTTCAGCATTTTTTTATTGTTCTTGATTTTAATTTGTTATATATGACAACAGAATGCATCACACTCGCCAGCATTGATTATCGTTTGTATTCTAGATGATTGCCATTCTGACTGGAGTGAGATGAAATCTCAATRAATTTTTTATCTGAAGTTCCCTGATTGCTAGAGATGTTGGACATTTTTTTCATGTATTTGTTGRCCATTTGTATTTCTTCCTTTGAGAAGTGTCTGTTTAGTTCTTTTGCCCATTTATTGATTGGGTCATTCAGTTTTTTGATGTGAAGTTTTGGGGGTTCTTTACATGTTCTGGATATTAATCCCCCATTAGAAAAGATTTCATCCTGTCCTGTCGGCTCTCTCCTCATGCTCTGAATCATTTCTTTTTCTGTGCAGACGCTTTTAATTTGATGTCATCCCATTTATTGATTCTGGGTTTTATTTCTTGGGCTTTAGGGTCCCGTTGAGGGAGTCATTGTCTCCGGCAACGTGTTGGATCACTCGTCTGTTTACTTCTAGCAGTAGCACAGCTTCTGGTCTCATTCCTGCGTCTCTGATCCATTTTGAGTTGATTTTTGTGCAGAGTAAGAGCTAGGGATCTAATTTCATTCTTCTACATATTAATATCCAGCTTTCCAGCCGCCATTTGTTAAAATGGCCATCTCTACTCCAACACTTATTTTGGCCCCTCTGTCGAGCATCAGATGACTGAAAGTCTGTATCTTCAGCTGTGCTGGTCTCTGAGTCTGTCTGGTGTTTGGCTACAGTAGCTCTGCAGAGTAATGTGACATCGCTCTTCTTGTTTGGGACTGCTTTGGCTATTCTGGGTCTCTTATTCTTCCAAGTGAATTTTAGGACTGTTTTTTTTTTCTAGTTCTGAGGAGAATATCATTGGTATTTTGATGGAGATTGCATTCAATCTGTAGGTGACTTTCGGTAGTATGAACATTTTAGCAGTGTTAATTCTGCCTATACAAGAGCATGGGAGGTGTTTCTATCTTCTAAGTCTTCCTCAATCTCTTTCTTCAATGTTCTAATGTTTTCATTATAGATATTTTCCACCTTTGGGGTTAGATTCATTCTCATTTTTTTTTTTGGAGGTTTTTGTAAATGGAATAGCAGATTCATCATTGGAGCATGGAAGGCTGTGAATTCATGAGTGTTGATCTTGTGTCCTGTGATGTGGCTGAATTCTTCTGTCAACTTCCATCTTCTGGTGGATATTTCTGGGTCTTCTAGATAGAGGAGCATGTCATCAGCAAACAGAGAGAATTTAACTCTTCTGTTTCCTGTTTGCATTTCTTTCACCTGCTTCTCTTGCCTTTTGCTCTGGCTGGAGCTCAGGGCTGTGTGGAACAGGCCTGGAGAGAGTGGGCCTCTCCCAAAGCACACACCACAGTCCTCCAGAGGGTGCACCGGGTGTCTCTCCTGCAGGAGAAAGGAAACACGCTGCTGCTGCATCAGTGGCCCACGGCGGACTTCCAGAGCAGCAGGATGACAGCTGAGGGCCACTTTCTCCCAGGTTGGTGGGTGTGGGACTCCCATGCTCTGGGCGAGGGGAGGAAAGGATTTGGACGGTTCCAGTGTTCTGTGCCTTCAGAGCCCTTACCCGTGCAGGAGGCTGCCTGGTCTCTGTGACTGCAGGCGTGTCTTTTCGGCACCTTCACAGTGACCCTACAGAGGCCCCGAGCTGTGCTCCAGCCTTCTCCAGGGTCACACCCTGCAAGTCCAGGGCCAGCACTGGCCTCCAGGTTACTCTGACAGATAAATCACACTTGCTATTAAATCGTGTGGAGACAGACTCCCAAAGAAGGAAAAGAAACACCTGACCTTAGATCATGAGAACGGCACTCTGCGGTTCCAGGTCCAGTTTACAGAGCAGTTGGTTATCTCCTAAAAATGGTCCTCCCTCTCTGTCAGGAGACTTGGCCTGTGCTGGGTGGGTCTTCCAGCCCTAGATAAGGAAGGCGGTCCCAGCCTTGAGCACTGTGGAGTCTACTTAGAGAGAAAATGGACTTAAAATTTTTAGAAATGTGTCTGTGGAGAGTTAGATGTGAGCCGAGCACTGAGGCCTGCAGAAAGGCTCTCTTCGAGTGCTGCATGAGGGAGATGCAGAGAGCCCGGAGCAGGGAGCAGCCAGGCCTGCGGGGGACCTCCTCCCACGGAAACCAACGGCAGATGAAAGAGCTTTGCAGAAGGAAGTCTCAGCAGAACTGGGTATCACAGGCCACCTGGGGCCAGGGGCACACTTTCCCACAGATGCAGAAAATTAAAAAGGAAAGTGTGGGAGATACTTGGCATCAACTTGGCAGCAGAACTGTCAGGTTCTGTGGCGCACAAATGCTTGCAATAGTAGGGATGGTGTGGCCCAAGACCCCATGGCCAGCTCCGCCCACTCAGCCCTCTTCCATGCTGAGACGCTGCTGGAGTGCAGCCTCCAGGTAGGTTGGTGGCAAGATCTCCACCCTGCACCTCCACTTGTTCAGCTGGCCATGCTTTAGGTGACAAATTCAAATAGTGGTTCCCAGGTTCAGAAGTGGACCACCTCCTGCAGCCACACTTGGGTCAGGAGAGGGCCAGCAGACCCTGGACACCACTCTGGGCACTGCTGCAGGGCCCTCTCTCAGCCGTGAGCATGTTCGGTTCTTGCCCCAGCATTCCTGCTCTGGAGAAATAAGAGAACTGCCTCAGAAAGACAAGGAAGCTCCTTGCTCCCCACTTTGGCTGGGACCACCGGCAGTCTCAGCCCTGGGCATGGCTCAGGAGGGCCCAGCCCACTCTCAGCACCTTGCAGCCTGTCCCAAGTGGTGCTGGATCAGGCACTGGAAGGAAGGAGTTTCTGCTTTCCTTATTGTGATATTGTTTCTAAATGACAAGAAAAGTGCTGGCATCTCTGGAGAGGGACCAGGCATGGAGGACTTCACCGTCTGAGAAGCTCCAGTGCCAGAGTGGACCTGGGTCTGGCCTGGTGTGGCCCAAAGCCACCCAGGTGACAGCTCCCAGAGGAAATGGCCAGCAGGGGGTGCAGGCTGCCCCAGAAGCCACTGCAATTAAGCCAGTTGGAGGAAGAGGGGCTGGACATCAAGGAGGACCCTGGAAGTGACAGGCTCCTCACCCAGCCACTGAGCTTCCAGGCTAGAAGGGTGGGCCTGCTGGGCCCTGAGCCTGCAGAGGGTGGGCAGCACATTAAGCCAGAGTGGTCCAGCTCACACAGTCTTACCGAGCCAATTCTATGAGTGAGCGGGGACTGCAGGTGGGTCACAAATGCAGGGCACCAGCACCAAGCCAGCCATGACCTCAGGGGTGGACAAGGCTGTGTGCAGGTCCAACCTGGTCCATACTGGCGACGCATAAGATGCTCACATCCTGGAGACGTGCTGCGTGACCTGAGTCCCTCAGGTCTTAGGGTGACCCTGAGTCCCACATGCTGACCTTTAATGCACGCACACTCCTGGCCGCTTCTGTTAGAGCAAGATCCCCCAGACCCACAGGAGAAAGCAGCAGAGACCAGATAGGGACACAAAATTCTGGTTCTATTGCCTGGAGGGTGCCTGGGTCAGTAGCAGGCAGCACTCCCCACATCTGTGCTGCAGGGCAAGTGCTGGCCTTCCAGCACCTGTGTAGTAAGGCTCCCCATCAGGGGGACAGTGAGGCAGTGGGAGGGCCCCAGGAGGTCAGAGGCCAGTGGGCGAGGGTTAGCAAGGAGCCAGGTAACCTGGCCCCTCTGAGGCCTCTGCTCTTCCCTGCCACAGGGGCCGAGGATGACCTCACACTGCGTGCTGCCCTCTATGGCCTGCTCTTCCACAGCCACGCTGACCAGGATGACTGGGAGGGTGGCCTTAAGGTGCTGGATGAGGCTGTGCACGTGCTGCCGCGCACCGCCCACCGCCTGTGAGTGCCTGGCCCCTGCTGCCCAGGACGCCCTCCCAGAGGCCTGGGGCTCCCTCTGGCCTCCTGCCTGGGACAGGAGCACAGACATACTGAGCTCTGGGTGCCCGTGTCTGTTTGGAGTTTCCCCACGAACTTCCCTCTTCCTTAGCTTGATTTTCAAACACATGGTCATCGTGAAAGCCAAACTTGGCCAGAATTTTACTATGGAAATTCAGAAGTTCAAGGACGAAAGCGAGGACTACTTGGCCCACATGTGGCACCGTCTGGCCCTGAACTCAAAGACCGTGTGTGGGCARCTGACCTGCTACGAGAATGCCATCAAGGCACTGCAGGTCAGTCCCACCTGGGCCCCACCTGGGCACACGAGGAGGAGCCCCACCACTGGGACTCGCTGGCCAGGCCTTTGGAGGGAGCCGCCACAGGAGGCCTCCCTTCTGCCGAGAGGCTGGCTGGCCCTCCCCCCGCCCTTTCCAGCGTGGGAGGACTGGTGAGGCCCCAAGGGGAGATGCCACAGCACCTGTAGGCAGCCCTCCAGGACCCGCCCCCTTCCCACCCAACCCCAGAGGCCTCCTGCCTCCAGTGGGCCACTCTCCCCCACTGGCATCTGACCCTCCCCCACCCTACACCTACAAGATCACACACACCTGTCCCTGCAGGACCCACACACACTCACCAGGGGAGGGTGGGTACTGGCCACTGACTCAATGCGAGTGGTTCCCCAGGGAGGCCCAAAAGGGACACACCTGAAATCTGGTCATGGGGGCTGGAGGGTGTCCGGGTGTGAGTTGAAAGGCCTGGACCATCAGCAAGCATCTGAAAGGGGTTTTCTGAATTATGGCTGTTTCTAGGCCTTAGGCACATCCCACCAAGAGGCCTTCGGATTACTGCTGGGTCCAGGGCATCCCTCAGCAAGCAGGTGGTGGACTGGTCAGGAAGATGCCCAGGTCCAAATACAATTCTTATGCTTGCTAGGCAAGGCCCATCACAGGGCCCAGAGTGCCGATGCAGAGGCCAGGGCTCTGCTACCAGGGGTGCAGGGAGGCCCTGGCCTTGCTCTGAACCACGGGAGCTCATCTCAGTATTTTCTCCTACTGGACGTCATTTGGTAGAGAGAGGTAGAAGCTGCCCCAAGAAGGGAGGCTGCTAGGGCAAAGGCTGCTGAAGAGAGCCCTGAGCCAAGCTGCTGTAGACCTCCTACAGCAGAACTCTGGGAAGTGTCTTGCTCCACCCTACTATGCCTTTACTCCACCTGCAGGACCACACACACCTGCCCCTGGCATCTGACCCTCCCCCACCCCACACCTGCAGGACCAAACATACCTGCAGGACCAAACATACCTGCCCCTGGCATCAGACCCTCCCCCACCCCACACCTGCAGGACCACACACACCTGCCCCTGGCATCTGACCCTTCCCAGCCTCCACCTGCAGGACCACACA